ATATATATATATATATATATATATATATATATATATATAAATATATATATATATATATATATATATATATATATATATATATTATATATATATATATATAATATATATATATATATATGTATATAAATATATATATATATAAATATATATATATATATATATATATATATATATATATATATATATATATATATATATATATATATATATATATATATATATATATATATATATATATGTATATATATATATATATATTTATATATATATATATATATATATATATATATATATATATATCCTAGTAAGCACAGGACGTTTTTAAAACGTTTTAGTTCCGTTCAATATTTGGTCGGACGTTAAAAGAACCAATACAATCGTTTTTAAAACGTTTTTTTGTAAACGTTTTTTTTAATGTTATTTTAAACATTTTTTTAGCGTTTTTTTCAGCTAACGAAATTTCTCAGTTAGCTTATGATCGTTTTTAAAACGTTTTTTTAACGTAATAAAAAAACGTTTTTTAAACGTACAGCACGGCAAAATATAAAAGGGTAAGTATGTTTACGCAAATAATAGCGTGACCTTCCATTAGGCGAAATAATTTATTTAAGTAAAAGTTATATAAATTAACATATCTTTAAATCAATCAAGTGTCTTTATTGTTTTCTTGTAGAATTAAATTTGAATATATATAGGAGTTTTTTTAGTTTAAAGTTGTATGCCTTCGTTAAAACTAGGTTGTGTTTGTATTTCTACTTGAATCAAGTTGATTCAAGTAGAAATACAAACACAATATGATTAATAATGTTTTTATGGTGTGGTTAACTAGATTATTTTACTTTTTTAAATAACTTAATTGTTGAGTTAATTTGATTGGTGTAGAAACTAGATTATGGTTTTAATTTTACTTGATTATCAACTGCTTTTAATGCAAAAAAATGCATTTAACTTTGAGAAAAGGGAACAACATTCTCAGAGTTTTTCTTCTTTAACTCTAAAAATAATAAATAATAATATTAGCGGTTTTTATAAAGGAATTGCTATAGTTGAAAAGGCTGAAACGAAAAAATGTGATGATTAGTTTCAAGAAAAGGAGTGGCTTATTTGAAAATGTCATTCCAAGATTTTTAATATATAATGATATTCTGGTGTTTTTACCAATTATTTGTCAGTATGAATCCTATTATATTATATACCATATTATATACCCTATTTTACTTATAAAATTAATAATCTGTAAAGTAATTTGTAAAAGTTTTTTAATTGTAAAGTTGCTAAATGAGAAACAAGTTGTTAGATGAAATTCAAATATTCTCTACTCTTGTGTTCTGTAGGTTAAAAATTAATAGATAAAGATGATATTGATTGTGATGACCGAGCAATTCATTTTAAGACACATCAATCTTCATCACCTTTAAATAAAAAGGATAAATATGATGGATTTTCATAATCTCAAGCAAGTAAGTCTTTAGTTAAAAATAATAATGTAATGTTTGTTTCAAAATGCTAACATGACTCTCAAATATTAAAAGATATCATTGAAATGATGAGGTTCCAATTTTAACTTTGAATAATCACCAGCACGAAATCCATTATTTCAATATTATCAGAACTATAAATCTATGGAACAATTTTTCTCGTCTAACCCTAAACCTATTTTGTAATATGTTGTAAAAAATACTAAATTGTAATATATAGTAAAATACTTCATTGTGGCTATACCAAAAATTAGCATTGCTAAATTCAAATACTTTACTGTCTGTTAGTTTTTCTCTGATTTAGGGTTAGACCAGAAAAGTTATTAAATTATGTATTTTAATTTATTATAAATTTATGTACTTTAAATTTATTTACGTAGTTTTGTTAAGACTATATAAAATTTAACTATTGTAAATTTGTTTAGACTTTTAATATTGGGTGTTGCTTTTCTTAAATGAAATAAAAACCCAAGGATGCAAAAAACTTAATATAAAGTAGTGTGAACAGGAAGTAGTAACTGAAATTATCAGCCTAATAGAATTCGATAAGTTTGACTCAGTACTTGATAATGTTTCATCTAGTAACTCTGTATTAACTCTGCACTTATAAATTGCTAAATACTGATTTGACAGATTTTTTTTTTTTTTAATTTTCTTTACAGTAAATAATTTTTACTACTTTATTAAGAATTGTCCATTTTTCCATTATTTCTGTCTGTTAGAAACAAAGAATTCAAAATATTGGTGGTAAGAATTGTCAAAAACTTGTGATAGCTATGATGAAGAGGTTAGTAAATTAAAAGTGCATTCCTATAAATGTTTAAGTTTATAATGTTATTACTAATCCATAATACAAATCCTATGCATGGCTCTATCTAAGCTGTTTTACCATAATGGGACGACTGAATAACCGTGACATTCATAAGTGCGAACTGGCATATGTGCGAGTTTGCATTAGTGCAAACTAGCACATGTGCAAAGCAGTTACATAAACTAGCACAATGCTAAATGGCATAAGTACAAATGGGCTTGAGTGCGCAAAAAAGAATTTCCCAACATTGGCATAATTGCAAACTGCTATAAGTGCAAACTGGCATAAGTTTGAACTAGCCAAATAAGTGCGAATTGCCATATGTGCGTCAAACAAATTTACAAGCATTGACATAGGTGCGAATCGGCATAAGTGCAGTTATTGAAACAGTAACAGAAACTGGCTTAAGTGCTAACTGCCATATGTGTGAATTGGCATAAGTGCGCTAAATAGATTTACAAACATTGGCATAAGTATGAACTGCCATATGTGGGAACTGGTATAAGTGCAAAACAATTGCAAAAACTGGCAAAAGTGCAAACGACATAAATGCGAACTGACATAAGTGTGCCAAATAAATTTGCAAACATTAGCATAAGTGTAAACTGGCATAACTGCCAATTTGCATTTATGCCAATGTTTGCAAATTTTTTACGCGCACTTATGTCAGTTTGCACTTCTGCCAGTTTTTGTTACTGTTTTCTACTTATTCAAATTTTGCACTTATGTCTATTTGTAATGTTTGCAAACATGTTTGGCGCACTTAGGCCAATTCACAATTTTGCCAGTTTGCAAGTTTAAGGCTATAGGCTATCCTAAAGCTTTAGAATTTAGTCTAGAAAAATCTTTTAACCCAGACAATATTCATATATATGACTATGCTAATAGTTAGTGTACACTAATAATCTGGACTACACTAATAGTTAGTATGCTATTTTATTAAATAAAAATAATTAATAAAAAAACTGTGTCGTTAAATTTAATTAAACATTTAGACTTTATGAGATAAAGAAAAACATTTTTAAATACAGTAGTTAAATATAATTTCATCTACAAAATATAATACTATTGGGTAATGGTATTTTTAGTTTTATGACAAATTCACTCATAGCCAAATTTAATATGGCAGTTGGAAAAAACAAAAGGATCTTTTTAGACTAACCAAGCTATACAACTTAATAAAAGGTACGTTTAATAACAATATGTTATGTTTTAAAGTGATATTTGTTCAATATTGATCCAAAACTGAAAAATAAAAGTGTTGTTTTTTTTTATAAAAAACCGGTCTTTAACCCATTTTTAACAAGAACCCGTCTAAAAACCCACTTTTAACAAAACGGAGGTTTCTTGTTATGAAAATCACTTTATATATATATATATATATATATATATATATATATATATATATATATATATATATATATATATATATATCATATATATATATATATATATATATATATATATATATATATATATATATATATATATATATATATATATATATATATATATATATATATATATATATATATATATATATATATATAATATATATATATATATATATATATATATATATATATATATATATATATATATATATATATATATATGTATATATATATATATATATATATATATATCGATAACTTTGCCTAATCAACTTAGTTAGTAATAAAATCGAAATTGTTTCATTTTTAAATCAAAAAACGATGATGAGCCTAAAAGACAATGCTAATTTCAAAGCTCATGAGGTCAACCTCTTGATAATGTCAGTGTTTATCTCTTAAACTCTTGCATCTCACACAGTTCCATGTTAAAGAGCAAGTTCGTTTAATGCCTCATTTTATTAAAGTTAAACAAAATCCGTTTGCTTTTATTTGAAAAGCAAAATCGTTTGTTTTTCCATGTTGTTAAACATTTATTACAAGGTATATCATTAAACAAATATTACAAAAATAATTTTCTAAATTGTATATAATTTTCGATTTACCTATTTTTATTATATTATTTGTTTTTTTTTATGTGTTATTTATTATGTGTTTTTATGTGTTAAAGTTATATGGATTTACATTTTGTAAGTGAGTAAATATCTTTTATTTGTTTGTAAACATCTTTTACGCATGTAAATATATATTTAAATATTTTAAGTATTTTAAGTATCTTTTATGTGTTTAGGAGTGTGTCTATGTTTGTGATATAATGTTATTTGTTTATACTTTTTAGTGGTTACTATGTTTGCATAGTTTTAATTCGTGACTTGGCTTAGTTTACAGCGAGATTGTTGATCTTGCTAGCCAAGTAATGTACTTGGCTATAATGTGTTTTGGCTTTATTGGGAACAAGGTTGTTATTCATGCCAGTTAAGTGGTGTACTGTCATTCTGAAAAAAATTAATTAAATCTGTTTGTAGTTTGTGTAGTCATAAAAAGTGTTGAAAAATATTGCAAAATATGTTTATAAGAAATGTTGAAAAAATATATAGCTTTTTAGTAACGATAATTTATTTCAATATTTCTAAATTTAATTAAATTTTATTAAACAGATTTATATATTCATTAAAGATTTTTTATACTGTTACTTTTTGAGTTAATTTGTAGAAAAGATAAATACTCTGTTTTTTTTTGTTTACAATTTATGTTTTTTATGATGAATTTTGTTACAAAATTGACTTCCTTTTTACAAATAGCTCCTCCCCAGCTAGCACGCATAACGTTGGCTAATGTTAGAACAACGTCAGAAGCGTTGAGCAGTTTTTTAAACTACGCGCTTACGTCAAACCAACGTCGGGCCAAAGTCTAAATACGATTTCGAAAAGCGCATAGCGTGTTTCAGACTTTAATGTTAAAATAGAACTTTGTTTGCTTTGAATTTACAATTAAATTAAAATTAGTTTATTGGCTCTTATACTTGATAATGTTTGAAAATTCAACATTTGCTCAAGGCACTTATGAATTTAAAAAGAATTAATAAACTTAATCAACTCTTCATGAAGACTTGTCATGGTTAAAATATGAAGGGTATCGTTATGCAGGAAAAAGAAAATAGGACGAGGAAAATAATAATGATAACAATAACTGATGTATCTTTTAAATTAAATTATAATGACTTATATGTAACAAATTGAAAAGCAAACAAACATATGTTTGTTTGCTTAATTTATGTTATTTTTTTTTTCTGTAACATTTTTATATATTTATATGTATTAACTTCTATATTTTTATATTATATTTTATATATATTTTGAACAATTTTTAAATATTTTAAAATTGTTTCAATAATTATAACAAGAAATTTTATTTATAAGTAGTACAAAATACATTGTGTATATATATAAAAAACTTTAGGCTCAAGCTTAGCAAATAGTCCAGGTCCAACAACATTTACAATGCGTTTTTGGACCTTGTCAATAAGAGAAAGTGAATCGTTAGAAGAACCAGCCCAAATATGACAACAGTATTCTATACAGGGACGAATAAGAAATTTGTAGAGGTAGAGAATGGAATCAGAAGTAAGGAAATGGCGAACACAATAAACAGAAGCAACCCTAGCAGAAACTAATTTAGCAATCGATTGTATATATGGCTTCCATAAAAGGTCAGTAGTGAGCAATAATCCAAGAAGACGTAAAGAGGAGGACTCAGAGGTTTGCCATTCATTAATATAAAAATATTGACCATATTACGGTAGTTGTTTGCAGTAAACAACTGGGTTTTGTTAGGGTTGAAATTCACAAGCCACTGTGAACCCCAATCTATTACTGAAGTGAGATTTGATTCAAGATCAGCTGCTTGTTCTAGGCGATTGAAAAGAGAAGACTTTTTGTCAAGACAGGAGTATCAAATTGAGTCATCAGCAAAAAGAGCTACTTTAGATGAAAGGTTGTCAGAAAGATCGTTTATGTAGATAAGAAACAAAACAGGGCCCAGGATGGAACCTTGGGAAGCCCCAAAAGTTACTGGAAATAGAGAAGAGTATTGGCTTTCAAGGATGAATTTAATAAACCGGTTAGAAAGAAATAATTTGATAATCTCAAAAACTTGCCCAGAAACACCATATGAAGCAAGCTTATGAAGAAGACCAGCATGCCAAACTATATCAAAAGCTTAAGATATGTCGAGAGCAACAGCCCTAGCCTCACTGTTTCCACCTAATGCACGATAAAATTTTTCTGTAAATGCAGTTAACAAGTGGGCCGTAGAGCGAGAGGATCAAAAACCGATTTGATTGTATATATATATATATATATATATATATATATATATATATATATATATATATATATATATATATATATATATATGTTATATTATATACATATATATATATATATATATATATATATATATATATATATATATATATATATATATATATATATATATATATGTATATATATATATATATATATATATATATATATATATATATATATATATATATATATATATATATATACGTATATTAAATAAAGTTTTTATTTTTGAATTATCAGTTTCGCAAAAGATTGAAGTTAAAGAAAAAGAGAGAGCGCCTAGTTTAACACTGAAGTTAAGTGGAGTAAAAAAACCTTTTGAATATGACTATGAGGATGACATACCAAGTAAGTTCTTTATAGTTCACTTCATATCATTAATGATTCAGTCAAGACCATTTATATTTATATATATATATATATATATATATATATATATATATATATATATATATATATATATATATATATTAAATAAGGCTTTTTGGTTTTTTAATTGTCTCTTTCGAAAAGTTTGAATTTAAAAAAGAGAGAATGGATAGTCTGAAGATAAGTGGAGTAAAAAAGTTATTTTTTCCAAAAAATACACTCCAAATTACCTGAACCTTTTTCTTCCTTAGAGTTATGCAAATCCTCAAGTAAACTAAAAAGTTAAACTTAGATTCTGTGGCATCAAATTCAAGTAAAGTAGTTGATGATGACAATAGGGAAAAGTGTAAATGCTTTTATAAGTTAAGGAAAATTGGTGATGGTGGAGTTTCGTTTCGAGAAATGACAAATAAACGTGAGTTTTTTTGTTAACTTATTATTTTTTTTCCATGAAACCCATGAAACAAAGTTCATTGATAATTTTTTCAACAATATCATTTTTATTAAGAGAATAAACAGCAAGACTGTTTAAGCCACACATGTATGGAACTGAGAATGTAAAACTGCCAAAAAAAGATTAGTCTAAATTTGAAGATTCTTAAATCTGCATATCTAATTTTTGCTTATTGCTTCTTTTGATTTGATTTCTTGTTCAGAATTTCAATATGCTTTGTTTATGGACTTGCAGAAAAATTTTCGGCAAATTCAAGAATCACTAGCACAAATCCTTGATAAGCTAAAATAATTGAACAAAGTGGAGATGTTGATTTTGATGTGAATGTTGATGATATTGGTAGAGACCCTATTAATTCGATTGAGCAATTTGATGTAATGAAAAAGATTTTAAATACAATTTCTAATGCAAGAAAACGCAAGGTAAACCATAAAATATAGTAGTAAGGTCAGTAATTTTTGCAAACCTCAAACACTTTTAGGTTGGCTGTGAGGTCAGCATTGCCAAATACTTGTTCTAATTCCGAGGGTTTATATACATTTGTACTTATAAAAAATTTATTTTAAAAAGTGGACACTTATGTAGTCACAATTTATAGTCTCATAATAAGGCCTTATATGGTTTTTTACTTTGGTTCAATGTTTAAGCTTGATTAAATTTTTTTGATAAAAGGTTACTAAAATGAGAGGTGTAGAAAGAAACTCCACGGACAACTGTCAAAAATGTTTTGAATGTTGTTATGACTCAAGAAATGCAATCATTATTTAGCAAGGACGGCAGAAAAGGGTAACGAAAATTTACAAGCACTGCTCATTATAAATGCATTAAAGGTGAGTATTGAATACGAGTTGGAAGCTATTGCATCTTAATAAATTGTAAGGACCAAAATATTTTTGATCAGAACGTGAAACAGTAGTTCATTACTAATTTTCTGCTATTCATTGATTGCAATTTGATTTCAATTGTTTTTTGATATCTTTAATTTAGTTTTTCTATATATAACATTCAAAAAGCTGATAACATATTTTTATTGCTTAATTTGTGTTTTATAAAACATGTCCTTTGATTTACAGCAAATTTTAAGATAAATATTTTTTCAGATGCTATTGTTGGAGACAAAAATGGATATGATGCAAGCAGCATTGATGGTGTCATTGGCGACATGCTAAAACGAGCCAAAAAATAGTATTTTTGGTTGATTAAACTTTTTAATTGTATGTATATATATATATATATATATATATATATATATATATATATATATATATATATATATATATATATATATATATATATATATATATATATATATATATATATATAAATATATATATATATATATATATATATATATATATATATATATATATATATATATATATATATATATATATATATATATATATATATATATATATATATATATATATATATATGTATATATATATATATATATATATGTATATATATATATATATATTTATATATTTATATTTATTGTCAAAATTGTATTTATATATTAATTGTCAGAATTATTATTCTATTCGTTTTTTGTAATAATTTGTGCCAATATAGAACCGCATTTTTTTTATTCTATAAATTGTTTTTGAAGTGGATTCTAGAAATAATAATATAAAAAAATTTAATAAATAGATTTATTAGGTATACTTAAATATATAATAATATTTTTATATAATTGTTTACATATTTATAGAGATTTGTATAAATATAGTTATAAATATATATATATATATATATATATATATATATATATATATATATATATATATATATATATATATATATATATATATATATATATATATATATATATATATATATATATATATATATATATATATATATTTATAACTATTTTTTATAATATTTATATATATATATATATATATATATATATATATATATATATATATACATATATATGATTTTTTATTTATATATTTAATAGATAAAGCTTTTAAAGTTTATTAAATCTGATCCAGTTATGGAATACAAGTGCTCATTAAAGCAACATCATGTTTCTTCTACAAAAAGGTTAGTTTGATAAAGTCATAAGTTATCACTAATTCAATTAGAAATAAAGAGCAAGAAGTTAGAATTTTTTTTTTCTAAATTATTTTGACATTTATTTCCTTATTAAAGAATCTTTCTGCAAAGCATCCACTTAATGCAATTGTACATGTTATAAGTTAATTATACATGTATCAGGGTGTTAGTCAGGCTAATGGCACCATGTATACCTCAGAATTCTAAATGGGGTTTAAAATCCTCAAATTTCAATGACTTTTTTTTTTTGAAGTAATAGGACAATATCAATAAAAATTTACAATGTTTTGTTAATAACAACAATAACAATAAATATTCTCAATATCATTAAGACATGGTAAAAAGTATATTCCTGGCTAACACCCTGCATTTATATATTTGTTACATTTGCGATTTTCCTCTCTATTATAAGCACTTAGTTTGTTTGGGAGCCATGCATTGTATTCTTAATTATTTTAAAGGTGCATATACTGGAATTTTAAAGAGGCGTTTATCAACTTCTTGTATTGGTCAAATTTCTTATTTGGTCACTAGTTTATATGGCAAATTACCAACTGAATTTGCACGTCAACCTAGGTCATTAATTGAGTTAAATAGATGGAAAGCTAGAGAGTTTAGAATGTTTTTATTTTATGCTGAAATAGTTGTTTTAAAGGGTATTCTTGATCATAAGGTGTACAAACATTTCTTGAGCTTAGTATTATCCATGCGTATGTTATTTGAAGAGGACAATAATAAAAGAAGCATGTATTTAGATTCAGCTAGACAACTTCTACTTTATTTTGTCTTAAATTGTCACGAACATTATGGTGACACTTTTTGTATGTACAATATTCATTCATATGAATGATTATTAATAATCATTCATATTGCTGATGATGTGGAGCTTTTTAATGCACCTTTAGACTTTTTTTCCTGTTTTCAGTTTGAATATCATTTACAAATGCTTAAACGTTTAGTTTGAAGACGAAATAATCCTTTAATAGAAATCTTAAAGCGTCTCAATGAATCAAAGGGCAGTGATTTGTGTCAAGAAAGAAATGTTACAAAAATCGACACATCTAAGATTTTTTACTTTTTGACAAAAAGTCATGTTATTTTTGTAAAAGAAATTTTGGTTAATGGTGAGTCAGTTTGTGATGTTTTAATAAAAGAAAGCTTGGACAATTTTTTTTGACAATTTCGTTGAGTCTAAGACTCTTGATATTTATTGCCTTAGAGCAAACAGTGTTCGTATGAGCCGTAAAATCAGCAAATATAAATTATTGCGGAAATGTTTGTGCTTAGCATTTTAAAATAATCATATAGTATTCTCTTTATTGAATAATGTTAAATTTTAATGTTATGCTTGTAAGTAAATAAATGAGTTTATAATCATAAATTGTCTTTTTTTCTAAGAAATTTTGGAACCATTCTATTCGTAGAATGGTTCCAAATTTCGCTGAATTTATCTGATATAACTGTTACTGTAATTTTTTTGTAATGTAATCAATTATTGCTGATTAAAACGTAATGAGATTTTTTTGTTTTGATATGCCTAAAGAGTGTTTTCCCTGTAAAAATATTAAACTTTTTTTTAATTAAGGTTGCTTAGCACAATTGTTATTAAAGAAGATTGGGCAGATACAAAAACTGTTGTGCCATCTCATTGGGTTGAAAAATGTAAAAGTTGTATATTTTATATTATTGGAAGAAAAGAAAATAGAAAATTTACAAGCGCTGTTATTTATAAATGCATAAAAGGTGAGTATTGAATACAAGTTTGACGCTATTGCATATTATATAAGTCTGAAATATTTTTGTTAACAGTAAATAGCACAACGTGAGTACATTCACCATAGTACGTTGCTCATTTTCAGCTTGTACAAATATATAAGTCTGAAATATTTTTGTTAACAGTAAATAGCACAACGTGAGTACATATACCATAGTACGTTGCTCATTTTCAGCTTGTACAAATATATTTGCGGTCGCTTTTCATTTTAATTTAGTTTTTTTATGTATAAACTTCGACAACTGATAAATATAATAAAATAACTTCGACAAATATTTTAGTATAAATTTTTATTGTGGAAGTCTTTTAGCTAGTTTTTGGCTTAAAGTAAAGTTTTTGGCTTTAAAGTAAAGTAAATTTCTGTATTTTGTTTTTGAATTGAATTGTTTTGATTTTTCTAAAACATGCCCTATGATTGACAAACAATTTTTTGATAAATATTATTTCTTTAGAATCCATTGTTGTTGACAAAATTTCAAATTAAACGTTTCAAATTTTCATTTAAACGTTCGTAATACGTCCAAAATACGTCTATTGAGGACCTCCGAACAGGCTGTTTTGGACGTCCTCGGACGTCTTTTTGCGGTCCGAAATGGACAAACGAAAGTCGTTTCATTTGGTACGTCCAATGGACGTCCATGGACGTCCATTTTGGACGTCCGAACGTACCGTTTTAGACGTCCTTGGACGTCCTATGGACGTCCGTGTGCCCATTGGGATATGATTAATATTTCTCTAAACATAAATTCTAAGATATAAATAGAATTTAGTAATCTGAGAATAAAAAACCATTTTACAAAAATTTCTTGCTATTTTGCTATTAATAATTGTTTTTGTAAAATTGATATAAAAATATGATTGCAATTAGAATTAATTGCTGCGCATGAAGAAGAAAACCATGTTGTTTTCTCCTTCATGGTTGAGGTTTCAGTTGAAATCAACAAAAATATAAAGAAAGTACAATTTTTAGTAGAGAGTCATAGACACGAGCACAAAAACCATGTAAAAATATGATTGCAATTAGAATTCATTGCTGCGCATGAAGGAGAAAACCATGTTGTTTTCTCCTTCAAGGTTATGGTTTTACTTGAAATCAACAAATATATATCACACCCGAGTGGAGATTTTTCTTACGAAAAAAAAGTACACCAGAAACAGATTACATTTTCGAAACCACCGTACCTTGTTCTGTTATCACCTAGATTTTAAAAATATTCTGTCGATATCTAAAAAAATAAAAAGGGGTTAAACAAGCTGGTCCAGAATTTTTAGTGTTTAAGAAAGATAACTTCCAGAAATGGTGCTTTCATAAAATTTTGTAATAATCATACTCATGCAAAATAAGAATGTTTTAGAAAAAATTGCGACAATCGCAGACTAAAAACAATATTAAACCTAAAATTTGGGTCCTTGTGTCCCATGTATGGTTCCAATAATAAAAAATTTTTTTTCATCATATTTTTAACTAAATTAAAATTAATCAACAAATTTAAAATTTCCTACAAAAACCTCTTCTCTTTCAAAAGTTATTACTATTTTTAGGTTTTTATTCCCCAATAATCTCCAAAAAATAACTTTAAAAGATCACAACTTTTAAACGGCATATTTTTTTGGAATGATATTTAAAATTTGTCGATAAATTTTGATTATAATAAATATGAAAAGAAAAAAAAACTCATAAACGTTTTAAGGACGTTAGGGGCGTGTTCTTAGAGTTTAAATATGATTGGGCCCGATCACTGGAACACAAATAAAAAGAAGATTTTAGTTTTTTGTTGTAGCTTTTAGTGATGTTTAACATTACAAGTTAATAATAACTGTTTCATATTTTACAAACTAACTTTTCACAATAAATTATATATAGAATTATTTAAATATTCTTCTGTATGTTTTACCAAAGCGAGTTTATAAAGTATTTCTGTTTTACTTTTACAAACTATTGTTTTAATTTGTATTACGTCAATTTAAATAATCCTCAAAATCATTCTTTATTGCTAAAATATTTGAAATTGGTTAATTAAAAACCTTTTAACGAGTTTTGATTTTTATGCATTATTGTAATTTGTGCTTTGTTACACGTTGCGTTTGTAATATCGTTAGTTATCAGAGACGAACAAGCCTCTGAATTTCTTCATCAAAATTTGAGTCAATTCTGGGAAAACGAATACAAAGTATCCAAATGTCACAAAAATTATTTGAAAAGATTGCATAAAGCTATTGTTACATATAACTCTCGTCATACTTTCTTTTTTCTGAAAGTCTTACTGATTAACTATATATATAATTTATTGTGTAAAAATTCTGGACCAGCTTGTTTAACCCCTTTTATTTTTTTAGATATCGACAGAATATTTTTAAAATCTAGGTGATAACAAAACAAGGTACGGTGGTTTTGAAAATTTCCACTAGGGTGAAAATTTCACCCTAGGGTGAAAAATTCCACTAGGGTGAAAATTTCCACTAGGGTGTGATAAGGTAGGTCAATTAGATGCAAAAAACCATTAAAAAAATTGACTAAAAAACTTTTTTAGAATTATTTCATGAATTTTTCTATAAGAGTTTTAATAAACATTTCAATTTAAAAAAAAAAATGTAACGAAATACAACCATGTTTCTGATTAAATTTAAAACAACATCTTATGACAAAAAATATAATGATGATTGGAAACCAATCTAATAATAAACCAGTTAAATCAGGGTCTTATATTTATGGACCGAGGATCATCAACAAAATGGAAACATATGCAAATCTTTACAGTAATACTCCAATGTGTTCAACCAATTAAAGGAAGATAAAAAATAATGCTACAACTTATCTATATGAAACAGGTTTAGCTGTAAGATAAATCTTGTTTGTAATCAAAGCTCAAATAACATTAGATCTTTGAAGTTGTATGAGTTTTTATTATTAAATCAACAAATTTCACATCCTATAACAAGAGCAATAGCTTGTATAATATTTGATTAACCGCATCTTAGAAAAAATATTAGAAACAATTTACTAAAACATAACATTTTACATTTTAGTAAAATAATATAGTGAAAGCATCTGAAATAACTTTACAAATAGGACAAAATTAATGCTATCCAACTTGTACCAAATTTGACAGATTTAGGATCAGGATGAAAATTAACCGTGCGAATAAAATTAGCAGCAAAAATATTTTGTAGTCAAGTTGCTTTTGCTTGATTGAATATAGTTCTGCAAAAATATTGCCTAAAAATAATTTTTGAACAAGTTTGTTATTAAAAACAAGTAAAATTTATTTGATATCTTGATTTCTCGTAAATCATAAACGGATTGAGCAACACGCATTGCTTTAACTTTAAATAATAGTTTTATACAAAATCTTAAAGATTTTAAAGGATTAATAAATTTTTGATGCTTGCAGCTAAAAAAAGAGGTCTCCTCTTTCGGGCTAAGTTTTCTGAATTTCTAATATTCCCGGTGTTACCCTAACAAGAAGCTTCATGGGAGTTTTTTTAATTTTGTACAGCTCAATTTAATCAGTATTGTTTAGAATTTATTTTAGGCATTACTAGGAAGCAAATGAGGTTTAAATAACAGACAACAGCAATGTAACTTAAATCAGCATTCAAAAATGTAACTTAAATCAGCAACTTGTACCAAATTTGACAGATTTAGGATCAGGATGAAAATTAACCGTGCGAATAAAATTAGCAACAAAAATATTTTGTAGTCAAGTTGCTTTTGCTTGATTGAATATAGTTCTGCAAAAATATTGCCTAAAAATGATTTTTGAACAAGTTTTTTATTAAAAACAAGTATAATTTATTTGATATCTTGATTTCTCGTAAATCATAAACGGATTGAGCAACACGCTTTGCTTTAACTTTAAATAATAGTTTTATACAAAATCTTAAAGATTTAAAAAGATTAATAAATTTTTGATGCTTGCAGCTAAAAAAAGAGGTCTCCTCTTTCGGGCTAAGATTTCTGAATTTCTAATATTCCCGGTGTTACCCTAACAAGAAACTTCATGGGAATTTTTTTAATTTTGTACAGCTCAATTTAATCAGTATTGTTTAGAATTTATTTTAGGCATTACTAGGAAGCAAATGAGGTTTAAATAACAGACAACAGCAATGTAACTTAATTCAGCAATTCAAAAAGTATCTTACTAATTTTTTTAATAGAACAATCTAACTCTAACAGTCGGTGTCTACCAGAATAAGATTTCTCTCAACAACCATCATAATATTTCAAAATCAAGTCACGCTTTTTTTCGCTGAAAACCATTTATTTATTCTGCAAATAAAAAAATGTTTTTCAGCCAACTGCATTATTTATAGGTAAAATAGAGTCTTACCCAAAATATTAAAATTATAAAAAAAGATTACAGTTTACATTTCTTTATGATGATCATGATAATAATACCTTTCCCGTAGAAGAAAGTTTAATCAGAAAACTTGTTTATATTAAAATAGCTTGCTTCATAAGGTTTGTAATCGAAATACGACACCACGAGACAAGGCATTTAAATTTATTTTTAAGATTTTTTTTGAAACAAATATTTTTTATCAATAATTATTTTTCTCTTTGTATTTTCCACTATTTACTTAGCATCTAAATAAGAGGACATATATTAGTTTAATATGAAACGAATACAATGACAAAGTAATGAAATGACTTATTCTCAACATGTTAACATTATATTAAATTTAAACTGTTTCATCATGTAAATGTAATTAATAGTATTAATAGAAGGAAAAACTTGTTTTAAAATTTGAGTGGTATGGTTTAAATTTATGTTAATATTCAATAAATCATCATTAGCTATAACTAAAAAATTTAAAAGAAGATTTTTACAGAAGATAATAATATTAGAAAAATGCTTTTTTTAACCCTGACTCTAACTCTGAATATTGAGACAGTGTTTTACAATTAAATAAAAACCAAACAAATAGTAAAAGCATAACAAATAGTATAAAAGTCTATTTTAAAAAAATCTGAAAATAAAACAAAAATGAATAATATATTATGTAAATATATACTACATAAAAAGAATTGTAACTATTTAATATATAACAATTACTTGAATTTTGTTGTGGTTAACAATTTAAAAGAGTTTTCTTAATGGTTTTTAGTTCTACAAAAGTCTGATATTACAATATTTATAAAATGCTAATATACTTAGTCGATGTACTAAACATACTTTGCCCACATTTTAGTTTTAAACAGGTTTAAAACCATTAAATAAAATTTTTTACATAATGTAATGTAACAATTAATATAAAAATTGCAAAAACATTTGTTATTCAAAAGCTTATTTATAAAGTAAATGTTGTTTCAAATTAGCAACAAATAAGCAAATTCTGAAATAACCCAAAACTTTTTAATGTCATTTTTATGTACTTTTGAGCATAAAAGCAAATAATCTTAAGCTTCTTTAAAATTAAACCCTTTAAAAATATATTAAGTTTCACATAAAACACATAAATTCAAATATTCAATTACCTTTCTTGTCAGCAATAGTCATTTTTGAAATTAAAGTACCTAAATGCAAACATACAGACAAACAAACTATAAAGAATAAAAATAAATTAAAATTAATGTGTAATATATATATATATATATATATATATATATATATATATATATATATATATATATATATATATATATATACATATATACATATATATACATATATATAATATATATATATATATATATATATATATATATATATATATATATATATATATATATATATATATATATATATATATATATATATATATATATATATATATATATATATATAATAAGATCTTTATGACAAAATTTACATTAAAAAAAAAGTTCGCTACTAATTCAAGTTTCGATTTTTTTTTAATTTTTAAAACTCCTGGCGTAACGTATGTAAAAAGAGACCCTGGTGAAGCATACTTACCAGCTTGTCTAATGCCAACTTTTAAATTTGGTGAAGATGATACAATAATATGGAAAAGCATAGCGGCAGAAGGATCAGGAAATGTTTTTTTTTAAAGCTCTTTAAGTTTTAAAAATATATTGACGTGTTAGAAACGTGTTATAACAAAGTATTTTTAAATAAAGGTAAATCTTCAATAATATTTTGCATCATGTCATTCAATACCCTATTGCGCATAATGCAAAGGAATGGTTGGTAAAAAAAAAATTCAAACTTTATCACAGCCGTACAATTGCCTGACCTTAACCGTAAAGAAAAATTTATAGAAAATGCTTAAAAGAAGGGTCAGGGTACATAGAGTCATTTCGAAAAAACATTTAATAAAAGTTTTTAAAAGAAATTTTTAAGATACAAGAAGCAACATTTATAGAACCCCATTTTGAGCTTGTGATAAAAGCATGGTGCTCATACCATAAAAATATTGTTATTGCACTAGAAAAGGTTCAACTTTATGTCACTAAATAGATACCCCAAATTCGATAACAAAGTTATTAACCAAAAACAATAATAATTAGTCCTAAGCACAATGGGAAAAAGATGTTAAAGAGTTGACTCAAATCAAATGTTGAAACTTTTAAAAAAAACTATTACTGTAGAATTAGATTGTAATATTTTTTCTTCTATCTGCCCAACACTAGGGGCAATAATTTCAATATCAGAAGATATATTGTAAAAAGCAGCAAAACTTGCTCTCAATTTTTAACCAATAGAGTCTCATCAACTTAAAATAATTGGATTTTATCATCAAAAAGGAATGCTTTCTATTAAATTATATATATATATATATATATATATACATATATATATATATATATATATATATATATATATATATATATATATATATATATATATATATATATATATATATATATATATATTTATATATATATTTATATATATATATATATATATATATATATATATATATATATATATATATATATATATATATATATATATATATATATATATATATATATATATATATATGTATATATATATATATATACATATGTATGTATATATATATATATATACATATATATATATATATATATATATATATATATATATATATATATATATATATATATATACGTATTTGTTCATAGATATATATATATATATATATATATATATATATATATATATATATATATATATATATATATATATATATATATATATATATATATATATATATATATATATATATATATATATATATATATATATATATATATATATATATATATATATATATATATATATATATATATATATATATATTAGTAGAAAACCACTAAACAAAATGTTTTTTTTATTTTACACTGTGTTTCATCAATAAAGACTCATCAGAAATGAATGGCTAAACTAATAAAACTTTAAAAAATATACCAAAATATTAAATTACAGGAAGTTGCAAACTTTTAACTACTGTAAATTTACACACATTTGTAGAATTCGCTGACACTATTATAAAGAGAATTCTTTAGAAATGATTACTTATCTTTTTATAATAAAAATGTTTTTCAAAAGGGGGGATTTAATATAACTATTATTTGAGCCTACTTATTTTTAAAGTTTTTTAGGAGAAACTTATTTTTGTGTCTGCATTTAGAATTCAATTCCAATTTTTTGTTTAACAAACATTCATAGTTTGCATGTGTAATTATTTCAAATTTTTCTTGTAGACATAGTATGCATTTTTTGAAAATATTGTTGTATGCAAAGGCTGTTTTGAGGATGGATCAATTATTAGATATTTATAAATTATTAGATATTTATTAGAGGGAGTAAATATGGAAACTAATTTAATATGTAATATGTGTAAATATAGAAACTAATAATTTCACTTACTCGTTGAAAAATACACCTATACTAGATGAAAAAAGTTAAACTATTTCTTTGATTGAAAAAGTTGAGCATTTAATTAAAAGAGTTTGTTGGAAAGCCCATTTTTTCTTAAATACAAACACAGATGATGTATTTAATAATAACCAAGGTAATGACAGTTATGGATTTAAAACAAAAACTACCTCACCTGTTGTACCTGATTTGGAAAGTTTTGAAAATGACCTGTTGCATTTAATTAAAACAATAAAGTTTTGCCCTATAAAAAACGAAATTCAAACAAAATTAAAGTTAGAAGTTAAAAAATTAAATCAAACCCCAATATTTCTGTTTTTGCTGATGAAACAAAGAACATTTACCAACTCACAACAGGAAACTATGAAAAAATTTTATAAGACAATATTACTAGTTCTTATAAGAAAGCCCCTAAGAAAAATGGAAAACGCAATTAATTTAGAAGCCTAAAGTATTGCTAAAAAAATAAACCTTGATATTAGAATCGAATATACTTCCCCCCGCCTAAGCCTTCGTAACACTAACAGACCATAAACTAAATTTTCAAAGTAAACTTCCTTGAAGGTTATAGGTTTCCTCAAAAAGTGAGATTGGACAAAATTAATAATATTCTTAAAAATAAAAAAAATTTGCAACAGTAGAAAAATACCACTGATCTTAATAAATTGATTCTCCATAATCGGAAATGAAGATAACTGTATATTCAATTCAACTTGACATCAATGACTTTTACCATTCAATAACTGCAGATATTTTAAATAAAACAATTAAGTTTGCAAAAAGCCACTTAGTTATTCCCGAAGGATCAATTCGTATAATTAAACATTGTAGAAAAATTTTACTATACTTTAATAAGGAACCATTGAAAAAGAAAAACATACACAACTGCTTTGATGTAAAAATGGGCAGTTATGACAGAGCAGATGTTTGTGAATTTTTTCAACTATACATTATAGATTTTTTAATTAAAATAATCAATATAAACGATTTAGGTCTTTATCGCGACGATGGTGTAATAGTAATGCGTAAAAAATCTGGTTCACAGCTCGATAAGATTCGAAAAGATATTGTAAAATTTTTTAAAAATATTGGCTTTCAAATCGAATAAACATAAAATAAAAAATTGTGAACTTTCTTGATGTCACATTTAACCTTTCTAAAAATTCATATGAGCCTTTCAAAAAACAAAAAGATGAATTATTGTACATTAATTTTAACTCAAATCATCCACTACAAATTCTAAAACAAATCCCGATTTCAATTAATATATATTTAATTCTTCCAAACGAATATTTGAAGATGCCCTTGAAAAAAGTGGTTTTGAAAATTTTAAACTAAAAATTGACACTGAAAAAAGAATATAAAAAATCGAAATAGAACTAGAAATGTAATTTGGTTTAACCCCCCATAGAGAAAAAATGTTTTCACTAACATATGAAAAAGTGTTTTTAAAATTGGTCTATACGCATCTCCATCCCTCTAATAAATAACGTAAAATTTTTAATTGAAATACTCTTTAATTGAAGTATTCTTCAACTAAAGTTTTCAATTAAAATACAATTATATTTAGCTACAGTTGCACAAAAAAAATGGAAAGAATTATAAAAAGTCGCAATATTGCCTTGTTAAATAAAAAAAAAATCCTAAATTAAAAAACTACAGAAAACTGTAATTGTTAACAAAAAAATAGTTGTCGAATAAGTGGAAGTTGTTTATCAAAAAAAGTGGTATATAAATGTGTTGTCTCCTCAAAGAATGTACCTGATAAACAATATATTGGCATAACAAAGGGTGAATGAAAAAAACGTTTTGCCAACCTTAAGCAATCTTTTAAAAATAAAAAGAATTAAAAAGACACCATGCTGTCAAAATATATATGGGAACTAAAAGATAAAAATATTGATAATTTTATACTGAATTGGTCCATCCTCAAAATAGCGTTTGCATACAACAATATTTTCAAAAAATGCACACTATGTCTACAAGAAAAACTTGAAATAATTACACACATTAGGCGCAACAAAGTATAAAAGAAAATAGTTTACACTAAAAATAAAAAATGGTTTATATAATGTTTCTTTGCAAAAACGCACTATAATAATATTTTTAAATGCTATGATAAAATCTTAAACTACATTTACTTTATTCAATAAAATAAAATTTTCGCTATAATAAATTTTTTAAGCACTGAAATGCAATTACTTTTACTTTTTGTGATTTTGTCGCGTTTGTTAAGAGCTTTTAAATTATGCGTCAAATTATCTCATTTTATCATCCATACTGCAGCCGTTCAAAACGCCTTAAGTTGAAGAACATCTCTTTTGACTTTTTAAAAAATAAGCTAGTTTATGTCTACAAACTTTATTGAATACATATTTTCAAACAGTTCTATGAAAATTCATAAAAAATTATTTGTCTCAAAAAACTTTTTACATAGAGTTTTTAATTGAAAATTTAAAACCATTTCTCTGTAAAAATAATAAAATTTTACTTTTTTTAATTGCGTTTTTCTTGAAATAAGTAATAAGCAAATTAAGGCATTTTAAAAACACCTGCAGCATATATTTATAGTAAAAAAAATAAATGTAGCAATAAAGAAGTTTTATTTAAAATCCTGAAGAAGCAGGATTGTTTTCAAAACTTTATTTATTATTATGTTTCAGACAATTTTTTTTCAGACCATCCGCAGTTTATTAGGACTAATTACTTGAGCACCTTAATAATATAAATATCTTAATTATGACATATACGAAACATATATTTTCTCCCAGTGTTTTGATATCTTAAAATATACTAGCTTTTTTAGATTCTTTTTGTTCGTTAAAGTGTATAATATCGTAGCATGTTTTTATACAATCTCGATAAAACTTCAAAAGTGTTTTGTTTTTTAAAACAATCGAAATATATATATATATATATATATATATATATATATATATATATATATATATATATATATATATATATATATATATATATATATATATATATATATATGTATATATATATATATATATATATATATATATATATATATATATATATATTATATACAAACAAATATGTTATTAGTTCATATATATTGTTTATAAAATGTAAAAAATCCACTTAAATAACTTTTTATTCATGATCGTATGTATTATAAGTAAAATTTTTTAATAATTACAAGTCTTTTTTGCTCAATCTGTTTTATTTTGAATTTTTGTAGTTATGTTATTATATTTTAAAAAATTGACAAGATTAAAAAAACAGTAATCATACTGTCACTTCCGAGTGGAAAATTTGAAACTTCAACTTTAGAGTTGCCCCTCTCTCGATAATTTCTGATTGCTAAAGTTATGTCATCTGCTTCTAAGACCTTTTAAAAATGATAGTCTTAGAAATAGATTTATATTTTTATGCATTGGTTTGCAACATATTAAAAGTTATTAAAAAATGTAAGATAAATGAAAAGAAAAATTGACGCATAAAGGTTTATTTTGCCACAAACTGACGTCAATGCCCAAAATCTTTTTGGCTTTACTTTTAGATAAGCGTTAAAAACTATTCTTTAATTCTTAATCAAGAATTAATTCTTTTTAAGGCCGGTGATAAGAGGGTGCATGGGGAGGGGAGTGACCCTCCCCAAATACTAAATCTTAATCGACACAAATAAGGCCACAACGTTTAGTCGGCAAAAGTCGATATAAAATCAGTTAATTTTAAATAACGAGAACCTATTTTTTTTAGCTGACTAAAATTGTAATGGCACCCCCCTCCCACGTTATACCAACTTGCGCCGGCCCTGTTTGCAGGCATTATATGGAATAATCGCGTATATCTATATATTTATAATAAGTTAAAACTTGAAAATTTTGTAAATCTTTTTTCCTATATTCTTATTTGTTTGCAATGAATATATACACCAGATTGGAAAAATTTAAAAACTTATTACGCTAAAAGGAGGTCTTAAACCCTTCAAAACAACACTGATGATAGCCCATTTAACCACTGAGCTAACAATAAAATGGAAAAGGTGCGCATGTTAAGTTTTTTGCACTTAAATTTTTCTTTTATATTAAATTATTTTTTTTAAATATATTGAAGTAATAAGGAATAGGTATAAAAGTATTCGGCGAGGAATAGATACGTAAACTGGTAAAGACATTAAACGGATACGGAAAGCTAGGATATAAAAGGAAAAAGTATATAAAAGTTTAGTTTGGAATAGATATAAAAACACCTGTATTTTTACGGGTCCAATCTTAGCTAGTATATTTATATTTAAATATTTATATATACATATATATTCATAGCAAATCTTTTTTTATAGTAAAAGAAATATGCTATTTCATTAGTTTTATAACAGAGCATGGAAAAATATACCACTAAAAAATATGATATTGTAATTATGAAATTATTTACTTGAAATTTTTTCTACTTCTTTTTTTAAATCATTTCTTTCTAATTCCATTAAAACAATTTTCAACTCGTCAATAGTTGCATTTGTGTTCTTTGCAGTCCAATGTTTTAACATAGCATATGCTTTATCTATAACTTTGGGATTTTCCTTATCAAGCATTTCTAAAACACTGTCTTTGATTCCTAGAGCACGTCCAAGTGTTACCCAATATGTTCCAATACTAGAGCTCATTTTAAAAATGAATGATTCATTAGAAACAATGTCTTCTGCCATTTTGTTGTTTCTGCAAAATAAGGGGAAAACGTTTTAAAGATAAACGTAATTATTTTTAAACCAGATTATAATAAACACAAAAATTTAAAAAAAATGAAAAAAAATGTTATTTAAATAGAACCATACGCAAAATATTTATTATGTGTAATTTATTTGCTTATAGGATACAGGTATTACTAGAGCAAAACAAACTAGTTTTTAAAAAATATTTCATTAACTTTTAAAACAAAAAAGAATAATATAAGAAAAATAGAAAACTTTAAGGCGTTTTTAAACATGCCTATATACTTAAAAACTAAAAACTCCATTGCATTTTTGACTTTCTATTTCAATTTAATTATCCACAGGAATACAAAAACAAAAACTTTACATAGTTTAAATATTTAGTTTGATTTTATTTTAACTTAAAAATTCAGACAAACTATTACTTACTAGAGTCTTCAATTGAAACTATATCAATATATAAACATTATTAGTGAGCTCAAAAATATTAAGAACATTATAAAAGTTTTATTAATGAGTTCTCAGCGAAAGACGAGTAGTGAGTTAGCCAAGGATGATACTGAGGACTATAAAAAGTTGAAAGAACTGAGATTTTTTTTAAAAAAGGACTCTTGCATTTTGAAAGGAGTACTATTAGCAAAAGAGTAATGTTAGCAGGTGCTTACAGATTGAGAATGTTTTTTATATTATCTTAAATTAGAAAACCTTATAAAAATATAAAACTGCTGTTTAACTTAATAGTATTAAATCGGGTTTCTTTTGTCTCTGTAGCTTATTTTAAATTATTCTTTGCAGTATTTGTTCTGCAGACAGCCACATTAACCAACCCTTTCCATAATGGTATCTTAAATTAAATTCACTCAAGAGTATGTTAGTATGCTAAACTATGATCGTTAAATTATACTATGTTAAATTACGGTCACATATACAACACGTAGACGGAAAAAGTATACGTAATTTAAACTGCATTTCAGATACTTCTTCCAAATCTTTATATACCAGATGCGCAGGTTTGCAAACTGCAAACTGCAAAATCTGAGAAAATGTTACATTAGGTATAACTAAACAACATAATGTTTAAAATAATTTTCTGTTATTAATGTATTGTCACACGTTTAATAACAAATACTTGAAATATCTTAAAGAATAATTTAATAGGTCCCAGAATAAAAACTAAGATTCTCAAACACTTTGATCAGAGTGAATATTTAATATTTTAACGAATAAGGTTATATGTTAGGTTTAGCTAAATCACCACTTCTAAAACTGTATTTAATACAAGGAATTGTCACTCATTTTGCAGAATAAAATCCATGCTATGGACATTAAAATTGTTGCTGATTTCAAAAAATTAGCAAGTAAGGACTTGATTAATATTATAAACGCAGTTTTTACTGACTAACATTCAAATTAGTTAATTCATTCTTTTCCTAGGGTATGATTTTTGTAGTATTTAACTATTTATTAATACGAAATTGTTTTGTTTAAAAACCAGATATGCAACTATTCAGTTATGCAATCATTTAATTGTCCTGACATTAATGTTTTTAGAAAACATGGCTGATTTGAAAGTAATTTAAAAGTCTTATACGAGCATGTAGAATTTTAATTTTAACAGATTTGTGAAAAATTGAAAACAGTTTAAATTGACAATATTTTTAATTTTGAATTAGTTGAGTTTGCTTCTTTCAATTATGCATACAAACACCGTACTTCAAAATAATGTTATTATCTTGTCTGTTTGGGCAACTTAAATTTATTTTTGGGGAATTGGGGAATTAAATTTAATATATAAAAACGTCCATTTTTTTATTGTATGTAAAATCTAATTAAGAAAATAAGGATTATTATCAAATATACTAACTTAGAATCTGACCTCGGAATAAATATCAATAATAACTTACTAATTTCTAAACATAACTCAATGCTAAGTTAATAAAGCAATGTGAATGGTATTTGCTAGGGTTGAAGATTTCCCGGAAGTTCTCTGTAAACTTAGTAAATTTTCGGATGTTTTTCATAAAAAGTAACTTATTTAATAACTAATAGGTAAAGTATTATTGCCCTACGAGTCAATAAAATCTAGCAAAATGAAATACAAAAAGACTTAGGGATATATACCATGGTTTAACAATTTTTTCTTGATTTAAAGATGTTATTGATTAAGAAAAGGCTAAAAGTGATAGAAATTTATTGCCTAATTTGAAGTACTTAAAAGTATAATTTAGCAATAAAAGTAAAGAACTAAAGATTTTAAAAAGTAAAGAACTAAAGATTTTAAAAAGTAAAGAACTAAAGATTTTAAACTATTTTATTTAAACATATATTTAAAATAAGTTTTAAATATATGTTTAAATAAGTGCTTTTAGTGTTTGAGTCTCACTTGCCACAACATTGCTAGAGCACTTTTGACTTTTTAAAGTCATAAAATTAATTGGTTGATAAAACGAGTTTAAAAACCATTACTGTCAAGTAGGTGTGTGTATGTGTGTGTATGTGGGGTGGGGTGGGTGGCATGTGGGTGTGTGTGAGAGTTGGTGTTATGTAAGTATAATACCAAGCAAATTAATTTATTATTATTTTAATGAACATTTAAATTAAATGAGTTTACTAAAGTCATTTTAAAATAAATATTTATAATCGAACAAAGCTAATGCGTTTACATCACGTACCTTTTATAAAGCTAATTTAAAATGCAATCTTAATTAAAAGATGGGTATTTTTGCTTGTAGTTCCTAATTATTAGTTATATTTTGTTTAAATATCTAAAGAATATCCATAAGAAAACGCATTTGTTTGAAAATAAGAAATAAATGTAATAAATTTAATAATTACTACAAGTTTATTGCAATAAAAAACTTTTGAATATTTCAGAACACGTTTTCTTCAAGTCAAATATACGTCTTCCAGGTTTACAAGGAAAAGGATCGGTAAACTTTAAAACACTTTCTCATCATTATCATTTTTTGTTCTAAGGAAAAAAATACAGAGTTTTTATTTTTGTCTATATAGTTATACTGAACTAATGATTGTCCAGAGACATTTTGTTTTTTTTATATTTTCATAGAAAATATTTTAGGTCAGAGATCATCAATAATATTTTTGTAAATCATAAAACTATTTAATGCGCTATTTAATAATTATTTTGCACACATAAAACTATCAGGTTTTAAGGCGCTAGTACCGCTAATGCCCTTAACTACCACTAATACCTTTATTTACCGGTATTACCTGTTTAAGCAACTAATACCGCAATTAAAAAACGGTATTCAACTAAATTTTTCTGATAGGGAAACCTTTTTTTACAGTTCTTAAAATTTTATTAATATGAATTTTATATAAATAGCGATTTGCACTAATGCATTTCTTGTGTTTGAATTTTGAAAATAATTGACGAAAGAGAGAAGTTTTTTGATTTGCTGTTTGCAAACCACAAGTTTGTTAAATTTTTATAACGTTTTTATAAACTTGTTTTCTTGTGTGTGTGTTAGTCCGTCCGGTTAGCATATTTTGAAACCCTATACAGGTTCAGAATAGGCAGAGATATGCGCAATCTGAATCGCTGATTTTGAAGGAGTGCTTAAAGTGTGTTGATTAACTTCAATTATAATAAAAAGTTTAAAAAACAATTAGAACTAGATATAAAAGTTTGTAAAATAATTAACTTACCATGACTTGTATAAAACGCATTACGGAAGTCATTTCAAAACTTTATACCTTTAAAAGGTTTTAAAATATTTAAATTTAGTTTTAAAAGCTTTAAAGTTCAGGAGGGATTAGCAGTTAAAAAAATTGTAAACATAATACACCTTTTAAAGATGTAGTAAGTTAAGATTAATTTCTTTTGGTAATCAGTTTGCCATATTAAAACACACTTATATTAGGTGGATATCAGGTTATAAACTTTTTCTTATAGCTTATTATGGACAATGCACTTTTGAATTCTTTTAATACTATTCCTTACTAAAGTAATATAAATTACTCTTTAACACTTAGTTCATTATAGAGCTTTATAAAGAACTAAGTGCTACATTATAAAAAGCAAAAGAAATTGCAAACAATTTATCTTGGTGATAACATAGATTGAAATATTTATTAGAGCCTAACTAAGTGATTAAAACCAAACTTTTCAATAAAAAAAGAGAAATGAAGTAAAATTATCAAGAAAAAATACAAAATCAGTTTTTTTTTATTTCAAAATATGTTTTGTATATAGAAGCCTTGAAATATTTAACTTAAATTTGCATGTGGGCAGTTATGCAAAGTTTTTAAATGTTTTTCTTGTCAAATGTAATGTCATATTCCATAAAGCATGTTTGGGACAAAGTTTATATACAGTTGCACTAGATTACTGGTAAAGTACTTGAAGAATACAAAATGTATATTTTAAGCTAAGGAAATGGTTCTAAGCTCGTTACTTTACTTTTATACCAACTTGTTAACTGTTTTGAATTAAACATTTAAATTTATGAAAAAATAAATTTTTTACAGATGTTTTACCAAACTAGTTCACATGTTTAATGTAAATCTACAAACTCTGAAAAAGTTGTTGATTAACCTAAATTTTTAAAAGGCTGATAATGATTCAATATTTTTTTTACGTAACTTTAATAAAACATTATTCTTAAACCTTCAAGCACTTATTGAAAAATTAAAAAATTTTGGCAGGGTTCTTTAACTTATATATAATTACGATGAAAATTGGATAATAATAATCTTTTGCAAAATTAAAAAAAATATATTCATTTGTTTTTCTAAGCTATACAGTTACATATAATCAATGAGTATTGAAGTCAAAAAATATAACCAAGTTAAGAAGTTAAGGTAAATTATGGCAATTATTGTTGTAAAAAACCTTAATTAAGACAAGCTTTTACTTTTGAGGAAGCAAGTTTTAAAAAAAATACATATTAACAATACTTCAAAATAAAACATGAAACGTCTCAATTTTTATATAATTGTACATTTTTTTGCTTATACCAAAAATTACATAATAAAACTATTCAT